CATTCCACATTGCTACCTGCGAGACATGCATAATGAAAGGATAACAAACGAATATATATGAAATGGTCATTTGATCCGCAAGTAAAGGTGACTACACATAGTACATCAATAAATATTGTTCTGCGCAATGCAACTCAATAACCATAATCAATACAACACCAGCAGGGCCGTAGTAAACATAATTAGCAAAGTCTACTCAAATACTATGTTGAAATCTAAAAATGAGAAATGATGTTCAATCGTATGAATACAGACAATGGTAAAAACAATATTTTATGGAACTCAATGCTGGTCTGGACTGCCATCGCCACCAAAGTGTCCCGGTTGCGGCGGAAAGTGAGGCATGTAGTATGGTGTTTGGGGATTATACGCAGCCGGTTGTTGGGGATTGTAGTTTTGGGGATTTGTAGGAAATGGTGGGACAGGTTGTTGTCCCCCAAAGTTTGGGGGCCGTGGCATATTGTTGGTGGGTTGTTGGCCATAGAAGGGAGCCGGTTGCATATAGCTGCTGGGTTGTGACATGAAGTTGGGAAATTGTGGCGGCATAAACTGTGTCCCCGTAGAGGCATGGGGGTTTGAGAAAGGTCCATGTGATTGAGTCCTAGACATACTGATTGTTCTTGTCACGAAGAAGTTACGTTGAGTATCACTCATTCCCACGAACAGCTTCTGCATATTTGGATACCAAGCAATAGCCTCCAAAAACATTATTGCGGTTTCATCATCAAGCGCCATTTCCCTAACTATGCCCTGGCATTGGTCCTGGAGATCGACAATAGGCGCAGCTTGATTCGCACTAGAGCTTTTAGTGCGACTACTACGCTTGCTTTCAATAGAAGAGACAAGCTTGCCGATTAAATCCCTCGCTACAGGGTCACATATTACCTTATGTGAGGACTTGGCTGATTTCTTGCCAATCGCTTTGGAGGATGACGCAATGTTGAGACCTCTAGCTGCATTGTTCAAACCGGCCCGCATGGAGGCAATGAAACCATCTTCGCTGCCACCCTCATCAGATGTCGCCCTTTCTTCGTCGGAGATGTGTACTGGACCCTCATCTATGTTCGTTGGATTATCCAATCCCTTCTCAAATGCCCCACTTGCCCTCGTACCACCAAAGGCCTCATAGTACAAGTCCCAATTTTTAAGAGGCTGATTCTTTGCCGATTTTGCCCATTTCTTGTTCTGCATATGAATGAGCAAACAAAATGACCTTGGCAAAATATTGCAAGAATTGACTACCCATAGAACAATAATTGTTTAGACGTTTACCTTGGCAAAATCTTCCCAATATTCATCAGTGCATGTCACAGCACCGGTAACAGGGTCCCAGCCAAGTCCTGTGTTATTGCGTAATGTAAGCTCATGGTCAAACTTGGCTTTGAGTCGGACTTTCATCTGCTGCACTTTGGCAGGGGTGACTTGATCCTTAAAGAACTGTTGAAGATGTTGCGCCCAATCCTCCCATGTTTTAGAATCCGGTTTTCGACCGTTGGCATCACGATTGTAGGCAGCGAGTCGCATAAGCAACTCCTCTTTCTGCCTTTCAGTCCAGTGTAGAGTGGCTTCATCGTCGGGTTTCCCTCTCGGCATCTAAAAATAGGAAAGAAAGAAGCGTAACGACGCACAAGAAGAATGGCCGTACGCGTGAGTCAGATATTTGAAACAATCTAACGACTAGACACAGTTATAAATGGCTCCGAACATTTTTCGAACATCACTGCCATTAACCAACGTACTATTACCTGGTTTATACATGTAACAAGTGAGGCAATGTTATTACTGGCTCAGAAATTTTGTAGCTGAGAAATCGCAACAACACTCGGAGCATCATCCTTATAAGCAGGAGTGACGTAGCTGCCATGCTTCAGAGGCACTCGATAAATTCCAATGAAGCGATAACTAACTGTCACATTGCCTACAGGACGCCACTACGACGAGTGTTCTAATTTTTGAACCAATTTCATCATTGCCAACATTACCTGTTTGTTAAGCGGTCATGTGCGATACAACCATAGGGGAGTCAATACACTAACAGCAGAGGCAGTAGATCCACAGGGGAGGCAATAAGCTAATGTAAAAACGGCAACAGGATAGCCAATACAACAATAAGAGAGTCCATAAGCTAAGGTAAAAACAGCAACAGCAGAGCCAATACATCCACAGGGGGAGGCAATAAGCTAGGTAAAAACGGCAACAGCACAGCAAGTACAACAATGGGAGATGCCATAAGCTAAGGTAAAAACGGCAACAGCAGAGCCAGTACAACAATAGGAGATGCCATAACCTAAGGTAAAAACGGTAATGGAGAGAATATACGACAATAGGGGATGCCATAAGCTAAGGTATAAACGGCAGTGGAGATAGTATACGACAACAGGGGAGGCAGGTAATAAGCTAAGATATAAACGGCAACAGGAAAGCCAATACGATAGCAAGGGAGGCAATAATCTAAGGTAAAAACGGCCATAGGACAGCCAATACGACAACAGGGTAGGTAATAAGCTTATGTATAAATGGCAACAGGAGAGACAATACGACAACAAGGGAGGCAATAAGCTAAAGGTAAAAATGGCCACAGGACAGCCAATACGACAACAGGGTAGGCAATAATCTAAGGTAAAACGGCAATAGGATAGACAATACGACAACAGGGGAATAAACAAGCTAAGGTAAAAACGACAACAGCCAAGGCAATACGAGAACAGGGGATGCAATAGCCACAGGGACAAACGACAACAGTTGAGGCAATACGACAACAAGTAAGAGAACATCGTGACTGCGAACGACAACAGTGGTCTCACTACACATTAGCATCACAATACAAACGACAAGGAATATGTCTCACGTTTCCATCACAATGCAAATGACAACCAATATCTCAGCATCAAATCAGTGAAAACGAAGAAGAACTACGGTGCGATCATGACAAATCCAGAACAAATAATGGTATATAGGAGATTAGTAGTTGTGAAATATCATACCCGGTTGGAACCAGTTGAGGACAAAGGCTTATCGTCTATCAAAACCCCCAAACGCGATCGTGAGGCAGCGCGTACGACGGCTTGACACCGGAACCGCCGATGGTAACCTCTCAACGGAAGATAACCAGTAGATGCAAGATTCTTCCGTTTGACTCTACATCGACGCAATAAGACGGCCAACGGAGTTTGCCGGTTGCATCGAGGCGGATGAATGGTATCCGTGATGAAGATTCAAGGGCAGGGGCGGGGAACACTTCTAGGGTTGGGCATGCAACAAGAAATCGAAGCAAAAATGGTGGAAATAGGGGAGAGGTTTACCTTTTTTCGCTGCGGATCGACAAAGTAACCGATTCGAGTAACCTTCCCCCAATGGAGAGAGTCAATTTTCACTCTAAAAATCTGCAGACAATAGCTTTTTTCAGAGTGAAATTAGAAGGGGGAGGCAGGAACCAGGGTCCAGCGGGCAAAAAGCATAGAGAAATCTGCACTGGGGAGGCAGGAACGAGGTAGCAACGGGAAGAAATCAGGAATCTGCACTGTTCAAGCACATGAAAACACTGTAGAAGCACACTGCAGTAATGGAAAAACGAGTGGTGTGCCAAACTCTGAAATCAGAGTTATTACTCGAGTTTCACACTCGAGTTTTGGTTAATGAACGTAAAACGCAACCCAAAATTCAATTCGAGTGGGCTGTATTTGAGTGGGATACATGAAGTGAACGGGCCCTTAATGATGTCTGTTTTATTTCCTTTTCAGAGAAGCTCATTGGCCAGTGGCTGTCAGACTATCACTTCGTCCAAATCTGCGACCTTGGATGTGAGCATAAAATCATGGGCAGGACGAGGACATAAGATGAGACTCGGACCCATTTAGTTCGTTGATTTAAATTTTTAATTTGAATTGAAATATGATTTTATATGAGAGTTTTTTACTATAATAAAAAAGTTAAATATGATTATTTCTGAGAGATTTTTACTGTAATAAAACTCAAATTCTAAACTCAAATCAGTGAAATAAACAGAGTCTCATATGAGCAGTTTTATTTGTCACCCCCCGACCTCACTTGTGGATCCCACATAACTCTATGAGGCTATATAACATCTTTGCGCACATATGTACGAACAATCTTATTTAGGTGATATTTGTTTTAAAGGTTATATTTAATTTAGGATTATGGTTCTTGATTTTATTACAATATTTTTCTCTCATAAAAAATTTAAATTTTAAAAATTAGAATCATGAACTATAATTTTAAACCCATAAACCAAACATCACCAATGAGGTTAAATCTCCGCCTTTCTCATAAAGGATGGCATGATATCCTACTTTTTTTTTTTCTTATGAAAAGCCCCATATCCTACTTGATCCCACAAATAAGGTTCATCATGCTATATAACATTTTTGCTATAAATATATATTGGTTGGAATTTCGGTTATGAACAATATGGATTACACTAAAATGACAAAACCAACGTGGCAACATTAGCCACACGATGGCCATTGGCATTGCTGCCTCATCTCTCTCTCCCCCCACTCTCCTCTCCTCTTTTTGTCTACACAATCATTGCGGGAGGATTGTATTTCATGAAAAACCTAAAGTGATATTATTCTCAACATAGCACTAATACAAACAAAAAAGTTTTTACATAAATTTTTTTTTTTAATTTTCATATTAGTTTTATACTTTTTTGATGTTAGTGTTAAGTTAAATAAATATCACGTACTCATAGATTTTTAATATTAGCGTGAATTGAATAAGCATCATGTTGTCCTTCTATGTTACCTGAAATAAGGTCTTCTGAGTTAAACTATACACACATATATAAGCACACGCATATGTATAACACTTCGTTGATAGGATTCTGCAGTGACGCATTATCAGGTAAGTTTGGTTAGTTTTGCAAATATTTTATCTTTCACCAAAGCGTATTGGAGAATGCATCATACGTCTAAAGTTTTGTTACTAACATGGATAAACATCAACGTTTATGGGAAATATTTAAAATTTGTCATAGTCTGGTAATATTCTAATGTATTAAACTCTAAAAACCATCTTTCTTTCAAGAAAGTAAATAAAAACAAACAAAACCATGAAGATTTTCTACTAAACCCTAAATACCGGATATGGAAAATACGCATATATAGGAATAAGATTCACATTCCTCCCATTCATGCTTCCCCTCAAAACATATCCCAAGTTTTGTCAGAGGCCATCGCAGGTATCTTATAAATGCAGACTGCGAAAACTTCATGCCGATCTTAAACTCGTAGCTAGATTAGTGCTTCGAATATCTTTCAAAAGAGACGAAATTTAACTCCTCCAGAGACAGGTTAGAGGTTTCCCTCTTTGACATGTTGCCACAGAGTCAAAAACTATCTCCTGCAAGTGCTTCTGAATATCTTCTAGTGGTTGACAAGCATCTATTATCTGCAATTAGGCCAAAAGGGAATTTAAACAATATCTGTGCCAGAGTCTAAATAACTCAATCTGCCTTAGACAAAGTAACTCAATCACCCAGAAACGGCAGTGATCAAAGACAAGCTTTTAGTATTTTGAGTTAATAGCAGGCTCAGTGGGTTTAAAATCTCACTTCTAACAGCTATAATAGTGGATATGACAAGGGGACTTTCCAAAACCATGAGACTTCTTTCAACTACCGGTGTTCACGATTGGTTTGGTCAATTTTAAAGCAAAAACCGTTGAACAGATAAAAAATACTGTTTTGTTTTTGTTGATTGGATCCATTTGATGTTCTAAAGAAAAACCAAAGGAAACCAAACCAAAATTAATTGGTTTGGATGGTTTGGTCCTTTCAGTTTTGGGGTCAAGGCTCGAAAATAACACTTCCTTGGATACTATAATTGCGATCTAGGGTGTCATAAAACTCAAATAGAAAGATGACGTCTAGGAAAATATCTAAAAGAGCAAGAGCATTCATATGGGTCTACCTAACACCAAAAACTAGTCTAAAACTAACCAAAACTAACAAATAAAAATCCAAAAAGGTCAACGACTTGATTCAGCTTGATTTGCAGTGATCAATTTCAGCGGACCCCTGCCTTACAATTTTTTTAAAAAAAAAAAATCATTTAACAGTAAAAATTTGGAGAAAGGCGAAAAGAAGCTCGGGGCTCTAACAGTTCATAATTAGGTTCGGGTCAAAGTTAGACTTCCCTTTACTGGCATTTACTATTTACAAAGTCGAACAGAAGGGAGGTAAAGAATTAGACAATGTATATCAAAAGAAAAGCATGTGAATCAAAAATAAACTAATGCCTAGTGCAACTTGCATGTCTACACTTTGGTCTTGGATTTATTCTTCAGCAACCATGAAAAGAGCAGGTAGACTTGATGATTTTGAGTATATGTGCATGCGCGCGCGCGCGTGTGTTTGTATGCATATAGTGTGTGCGTGTCTACTATATATGCGTGTGTGTGCATGTATGCATATATGTGTATAATTGTATTATGTACAAATAGCTATACTGCTGACCAATGTTGCATAAGCCTCGAGATAGCTGTATTACCAAAGCAACTATTCTGCTTCTTAGAAAATATAGACATGAAACTACGAAAGTACTTGATGTTAAAGTCACAGCAAGCCCTTTAGAAAGGATTACAACAAAAGCAGATTCACAACTTCTTCAATGCCATATCAACAAATGAAAAATTTATCACCTTCCAAGAAGCATCATGAAGAGCCTGATAGCTTTTGCTAACTTTCTTTTGAAACTCTAGATGCTCGTATCTTTCTCCTCCATAACCACCTCTTTCTGCAGCTTTCTGAGAATTGTAACATAATGAATCGGTTCAAAAGAAGATTTAGGAAAACACTAGTACATCTCACCTTTGCAAAAAGGTCAGCAGAAAACCCCAACAAATCTTTCAACTTACTTTTTGAGGTTTAAACGTATGTTTGTAAATCAGAAAGTGGGCTATGTATCCGAACATAAAAGGCAAAATAGAAAAAGAAAAAAAGAAGTTATAACACAATAATTTACATTGAAAGAATCTGGGACAATTTGTATATTGCCTAATAGTCTGAAAACCATAAAAACTAATTACCTCTGGTGGTATTTCTAGGTACAATACCAGATCTGGAGCCAATAACCCAATTTCTGGAGCCTACAGAAGACAACGACACTATTTAGCAGAACTCAAATAAGAACCAAAAACTTTTTCATCAACAATTTAGCACGTCTTCACCTTACACCAATCCATGTCTAGTCCTTTGGCTGAAGAGAAAGCCACCCCAGAATATGAATAACGGTCAACAATGATAGTGGTTCCAGATTTCAGCTTACTTTCCATCAATGTTCTGCAAAAACATTAGACTTTTCAGCATTCGCCTTTTTGGTTGTCTCAATTAAATTTCAGTCAGTAAACATGCAGACACAGATGTAAAAACAAGCATCTCAATATTTTCTTTTTCAAGAAGAAAGAATACATCAATGTTGAACAAGTCTGGTAGCACACAACATATGCAATCCAACAAGACTATTATACTACCACAAGAAACATCCGCTCTGTTTAAATATGCATATTTAAAGGTAAACAACACAACATTTAATTTTTATCAAAAATCTTCTCCTGTCTTAACCACAAAGCAAGAATGATCCACATTGCATTAGGGATATAAAACAACACAACCAACCTCTTCTCCCAACGGTTGGCACTGAAAAGAAGATGGATAGCACGATCATCAAGTTGCGATTGGTTGGAAAGATAAGAAGATATCATTTGTCCAACGCTTGTTGTTCTGTCAGGGAATCGCCATAATTCAGCCGAATGCCCCAGTCCTTCCAAGTACTTGTGTAATTTGTTAGACTGCGTAGTTTTGCCACAACGATCCAAGCCTTCTAGAACAACTAATGCACCTCTGGAGTCGCTTCTGTCGCCGCTTGAGTTAGATTTGTCGTTCATTGCCATTCGAATGTACCTAATGGAACCCTTTTGGGTACAGTTCAACGGAAAATGCAATGACCTTCCTGCTGTTATTGCTCCAAATTTCCTAGAAAACAAAAGCCTTCAATCTGTATAGTCTATCAAAATTGAATAATTACAATTATACTTGTTATGGGGCATTTAAGAAAGGATCAAAACCATAAACTATCACCTATTCAATGATCTAAAATGGAAAAGATCTATCATTTTATATCCTAACCAATTCCCACAAATTTTCTTCCAATTTCCACCATTTTTTGGGATGTTAACTGACTTTTTAATAACTACAATTACAAATCCAGAATTCAATTTCAATCTTTTAAAACAGAATTATAAAAATATGAAAGAAAAGAGATCTTACAAAGCCCTAGAAGCAGTGAAAGAAGCATGGATCATTTATCTTTCGTCCACCTATAATCTGCAAATGAGGCAAAAAAAAAAAAAAAGAATAAGTAATTGAAATCAAAATCAATAGCCAGATTTAATTAAAACAAATCTGCATCAATTAATTCCTAGATCATGAGATTAAGTAGAAGAATACTGTAATAGAACCATAGTAACAGAAAAACCCAGATCAGAATTCACAAATTCACTATCTAAAAAGCAGTTAATGTAATTCAAAAGTCCCAAACACCAGAATTAAAAAAAAAATAAAAAAACGAAAACAGAAATATCGTGAAATATACCTGGTTCGGAGACAGAGAGAGAAGACAGACCCAGAATGACAAGTTCGGAATGGGAAAAAAGGGAAAAAACCCCCAAAAGCAAAAGCTTGATGTCGGAAAAGCGCGGGAAAATCTTTGGGTCACGAATCTTCGAATACTATTTTGGGGTTAATAGCTCTACAGTCCTTGATTTTTTAAGACAATTTAAAGCCGTTTAGTTTGCTATTTAATTAGTTGATGTAAATTTTTAATTTGAGTTAAAAATATAATTTTATATAAATTTTTTTTATTATAATAAGAATAAAAATATAATAAAAAAATTAGATATAATTATTTATGAGAATTTTTTATTGTATTAAAATTTAATAGACGTTTAATTTATAGATTTAAAATCATAATTTAAAATTATTTTTATTTTATGTGTATTTTTATGAAAAAAAAATATTATAAATAATCATAAATTATAATTTAAAATTAAAAATAAATATAAAAAATAAACGTCTTTTTAAAATTTTAAATTCAAAGCAGTAAAATAAATAAAATTTTAGTCCTATTAACAATTTTAATTTTAAAAATTAAACCTTTCTTTTTTTAATTTATGAATATAATATAACGCATCCTAAAAAAGAAAAAATGGAAAAGAGCAAAACAAAAGCATCAGAGCAAACCGGAAGGTATAGAGCAAGCCTCCATGGACGAAAAGGGTTGCGTTGACGGGGTTCCCGTCGCCGGAACCGGTGGTGGCGGCTTACGGCGGTGGTGGGTCCCAAGGGGGGCTTGCGAGGCGGCAGCGAGAAGGTTCCGGCGGTGAGGGGCGACGCCGGCGTGATTGACAGGGCTTCTTCGGGAATAGGTGGGTTTTGCTTAGTTTTTTACTGATAGGGTTTGGGGAGGAACAAAATGAATATTTTTAGGCCCGTTTAGTTCGCTGATTCGAGTTTTTAATTTGAGTTGAGATGTGATTTTATATTAGTACTTTTTACTGTAGTAAAAAAGTTAGATGTAATTATTTCTTAGAGCTTTTTACTGTAACAAAACTCGAATTCTAAACTCGAATCAGTGAAATAAACAGGACCTTTATTTTTGAGCAAATTGCTCATTTGATTCCTGAATTATGAGTTGGTCATCATTCTTTTTTTTTTTTTAATTTTTTATTTGGTGTAATGCCCTCAAACTTTTGAAAAGAGTGCAAAAAAGCTAAAATTGTTTTTTTCCCTCGTGAAGGACTAAAATAAGTGTTAAATTAAGGGTGATGAGTTGAGGTGGAATTACACATCACATACTCAAAAGTTGGTTTTTGAATTGTTGTCTTAGCATTATTCTAATAGAAAATATTTATGTTTCGAATACTTCTTTTAACTTTTGCTAGTATATTTGTTTGTTCACTCTAAAGGTGTGTTCCAAACAATGTGATCCTGAGCTTTGAGGTTGAGATAAACTAACTCTAGGAGTATGGTCGAAGATTTTTTGTCCCTTCAATTTACTTCTTTTTTCTCTTTGTTAGCTTTATTAGTAACAAAATACATACATATATATATATATATATATATATATATCTGTGTGTGTGTATCTTTGCTACAACAAAATCAACGGCACTTTAAATCTTCTAGTATTCAGCCAAAAAAAAAAAGTTTTAATTGTACAATGCACTATCAGTTGTGTTGTTTTATTAGCCAACCGCATTTTTCCTGTGTTTCTCCTACACTTTTATCAACAACAACTAAAATCTAAAACCATTGTTCATAAAAAAAAAAGAAAAAAAGAATGGCCAACTTTGATGGATGATAGTATAAACACAAATACAATCTGAAGGAGAATCTTCAGGAGAGAGCAATGTGTCTCTTCCTATTCTGTTGAAGAAGTGAAAAAGAACTGTTGACAGGTAGTGCTGATATTTCTCTTCATAAGAATTAGGGACAACTGTGTTAAAAGTATAAAAATTACTATTGGCCCACCTCCTGACAGCTTAAGCTTTTAAGATGGATTGATAAACTAACAAAATGTGCTAACATATTCGACTCTGGCAATGAAGACGGCAAATGATCGGAGGAAGAGGTGCGTGAAGTGGCGGTTCTTCCCAAACGCTCAAGTAAATGGAGTCCAAGGTCTCAATGACATCCTCAATGTCACTTGCGACATCTCCGACTTCAGCTATCTACTTGCGAACACGCTCGTTCTGCACTTGCTTGCGATCCGCATCTTTCAAGAAGAACTTCATTCGCTTTAGTTCAGCTTTCAACCGCTCCACTTCATTCTTGACGCTGGCCAAGGAAGTGACTTCATGAATGAGTAGTTCGGAGATTTTTTCGACTGCTTCGGATACAACAGCCTCCACCAACTTTGAGAGTAGGGTTTCTGCCATTGTTGTGAAAGAGAAGCACGAAGAAACTAAAATCTCGAAATAATTGGCTCGAAAGGTAACCTTGCTAGCTTATTCATGTTTTGGTTTTGTCTTTTATTTTCCTTGGCTAGATGAACAAAATATATATTTTTAGCTTGTTTAGTTCGCTGATTCGAGTTTTTAATTCGAGTTGAGATGTCATTTTATGTGAGCTTTTTACTGTAGTAAAAAGGTTAGATGTGATTGTTTCTGAGAGTTTTTTACTATAAGAAAACTCAAATTTTAAACTTAAATCGGTAAAATGAACGAGACTTTTATTTGCATAAGATACAAAGAATCATAAAGTAGTATTTCTAAAAGAAGAAAGTGATCAATACCAAGTTTGTGAAGGTGGAGAAATAAAGTTTATTCTATGCGTAAGTATCTCATAGAAGAAAGTTCCAACTAATAACAACAATGTTGCCAGCTAGTTCTAATGTATTTCAAAGGGATGCGTAACCTCTTACCAACTTATTCCATGTTAATTTGTTTTAAAGAGGAAAGACTTATTATATGCTAATTATTATAGTTTTTGGTGCTGTAATTTAGTCTCTCATATAGGGTATGTTTATTTGATTGTATTAAAGCACCGTATTGTATAATAATATAATAATATAATGTTTAGTGTGACATATTATATAAATTAATATTTATGGTAAATTAATATGGTCTATGTTATATTATTAAATATGCTTATTTTTAGCGTATTGTATTGTATTATTTTATAGTGGATCAATAATTCATATTGGGATTGGACACGATTAGAGGTCAGAATCGGACTGACATAGGATCATGTCAGAGTCTATAATTATTAAAAAGTTTAGGGAGCAAAATGCAAATTTTATATTTATTAAAATTGTTATTTTGACCCTAAAACTTTTACAAAATTACATTTTGAACTAAAACTTTTGTAAAATTACACTTTGACCCTAAAATTTTTATAAAATTTCATTTTAACCCCAAAGCTTTTGAAAAATTATATTTTGACCTCAAATTATTAAAATTTTTCATTTTGACCCTTTAAACAATACGTTTTAACACCAAATACCGTATTGTATTATGATAATATAATACAATTCAATACAATATAATACACCTTATATAATATAATACAATACAAGTTACCAAACATGGCCATAATTTAATATTGTGACAGTTTGATTAGTTCCTGAACTATTTCCATAGAAAGTTTTGGTCCCACATCCATAACATTGATGATGGATTTTTATAAACTTAATAAAGGTAATTGCATGCCCATTTTGTGATAACTCGACAAAAAAATAATGCTGCAATTGTACAATGCACTATCAATTGTATAGTTTTATTAGCCACTGCATTGTTCCTCTGTATGTCCTACACTCTTATCAACAACAAATAATTTAATCTTAAACCAATGTGCAAAAAAAAAAAAAACAAAAAAAAACAAAAAGAATGACCAGCTTTGATTCATATAATATAAACACAAATACAATCTGAAGGAAAATCTGAAGGAGAGGGCAATGTATGCCTTCACATTTTGTTGGAGAAGTGAAAAAGAATAGCTGACATGTGATGCTGATATCCTCTCCACTAAGCACTGGGGACAAATGTGCCAACATATCCGACTCCGGCGATGAAGAAGGCAAAGGATTGGAGGAAGAGGTATATGAAATAGCGGTTCTTCCCGAATGAAAGATCATAGCACCCGCAGAAGAAGAGGTAGGCCCCAACAGTGAGCTCAAGTAAATGGAGTCTGCTTAGAATGAGCACAAGATCATTAAAATTGTACGCTCTTTCACTTCTATTTCAAGCTGAACATAATTTTCAGGTGATGACGATTGTTAACATATTAGAGAATATGAGCAGTTTTGTAACAGGGAATTAGAATGAAGAGTTTAGCTTATAAATGTCTTTTCTGTTCAAAGATTCTGTTCAACAAAGCATACCTTTCTCCGATCCTAAATCGAGGCTTCTTGAAGGACTTTGCGCCGGCTTTGGTCTTGAGAGCATCTCCTAATTTGTCAGTGACAATCCATTCATTCACTCTTCCTGCCTCTAACAAACCGATAAAAGTCGCTTTAGTCCGGTGCAGCGACATGACATTCTCAAAGAGGATCCAGAATATCAATAGGTGGAATGATCTGCAGGATTGCATTGCGTACATCAAAAGCAATAGAGTTAAGAGAACTACACTGTAAGATCTCTCAAGGTAAGACTTGTGGTCCTTTAGAGTTGTTTCAAAACTAAAATATGGTAAAAGAGATTTGTAAGTACAAGCAGAGAGAAGAAGATACCTTGGAGTTCCAACTGCATTAAGTAAAGTAATGACTGAAGGAATATACACAGCACCCCACTTGGGAACTTCTACTTCAGGGGCCAAAACAGTTGCCGGTAACACGACGCAGTAGAAGACGAATGTGACAATATGAGCCACGATCTTCCGAACAAAGAAGAAGCTGTAAAGCACATGAAACTTCTTCAAGGGGGATACTTTCTGCAACAGATTGCCAAGTATTAGTAACAAGGAAAACAAAAAGAATCATTAATCATTAGTGATAATCCACTATTAGGAGGCACAACTAGAAGGACAATGAAGATTCATATACCTTATTTCTTACTATCTCCATGGCCATCTTTTTGAAAAGGTTTGCAGGGCCACAAGACCATCTGTGCTGCTGATACCGGAAAGCTTTGAAAGTACTTGGCAATTCACTTTTCACCTGAGTTTCATTGAAGATTTGGTACTTTTAGAAGAAGTTTAAACAAGACTATGATATATATATATATATATATATATATGACATAAACTTGTTATAGCTCAACAATGTTTTCAACAAGGTTGGAAAATCACTAACACTTTACCTTGAGGTCAGAAAGATACACAAACTTCCAGCCTCTGAGACTAGCCCGGACGGCCAAATCCATATCCTCCACCGTCGTGCGGTCCTTCCATCCACCGGCCTCATTGAGGGCCGAAAGTCTCCATACACCAGCGGTGCCTGCACCACACATTCTCTTATGCAATGAGTTTCAGGCTTAACATTGAGTTTTTTTTTTTGGGTTAACAATTCCCTAGAGATTTTTGGTTTACCATTGAAGCCAAAGAAGGAGTACGCAGTGGACCCCACTTCTTGCTCAACTGTGAAATGGTAATCCAGTGACATCTCTTGCATCCTTGTCATCAAGCATTCATCCGAATTAACTGCAATACCAATCAGAAGACAAAAACATCACAACTTCTTTCCTATAAAAATGCAAGCAATATAATTGCGTAATGTGTTCCGAAAGGTCTGGAGGTAATATCATACACATTCTCTTGAAATTTCAATATAAAATCCAAGAACACCACTCATACAGATTGAATATGAAAGTTTATTAACAAATTTGCGATGTAAAGTTAGGATTAGAATACAAAGTCTATTGTTACATAAAATAAATGCGATAGTTGAGAAATTATATTACAATTTTGTAACATGTGATATCAAATTTAGCCTAAAACAATAGGCCTCTATCCAGATCTAATATTAAGTCCTTAAATTCAAATTTTTAGGCCTAAAAAAGGAAAACTATAAAAAGTACTTCTCGAGTTTTAACTAAATACCACAATTGCTCCCACATTCTTGATGATTCAAAATTATTCCTTATATTTTAAGAATGCTATAAAACTATCCCATGTTTTCATTTTTGGTTCAACAAAGTGATTAAGTTTGGAAAATTACGAAAGTGTCCTTGTGAAGCGGGATATTCCCAGTTTCGAAACACGCCCTTTCAGACCTACCATCATGAATTAGAGACCCTCATATGAAGAAAAAAATTGATGAAGAAACCTCTTTTGGAGACCACCGTAGTAGATTTGACAAATCATTAGTTAACAATAGACATTTTTTGTTTGAGCAGCTTCGTCTTTTTAAATGAGGTTGTGACTTGTTAAAGTTTTTCCAAAAAAAAAAAAAAAACGAAAGAAAGAAAGAAAAAGCTGTAATGTAAGGAAATTCCAATATTTTAAGGAGAACAAAATATACACACGTTTATTTTTCAAATCGGAACGAGTGAATATAATAACAGAAATAGTAGAAAATAGGTCAATATGAAAAGTTTAAGAAAGTATATAGGTCAATTTTTAGTTATAGAAATTAATAGATCATAACTTGTCAAGTTATGGTTTATAACCAGATAAGTTATGAACAAGCTTGTCAAGTTATGGTTCATAGCTAAACAAGTTATGGACAAAAATCATGAATTATGGACAATAACTTGTCAAGTTATGGTTCATAACCAGATAAATTATAGATAAAAACGCTAATTTAATCTATTTATTAATTTATGTAAATTATTAACATATTAATTTTAATTCATCTCAAATATTGACGACCTGTTTCCCTCTTTCTCTCATGTAATAATACGACAGACCAAAACGAAAGGTAAAGCCCAAAAAGCGTCTTCCTTACCTAACGACTATTTAGCATGTTTTTTTATTTTTTTGGAAGGAGACTAATTAGCATGTTGATTACGACTACACAACTTATGTGGATGTTATAACATATATAATTAAAAAGATACTCTAATTCTTATTTCTCCTTATTAAAAACGGGAAGAATCTTTAAAGCTAACTAGTAACGCACTCGTCTAAAGTCTCAGCCACCGACACTTCTAAGTTGAGGTGATCTTGATAAATACTTTTAAAAGTGTATGAATCAGAATTTTTATTTTTTACTCTTGATTCATAATCTTTTTAGTCAAATAATTACACTACTAAAAGGGTATTTATCAAGAGTAATGGGTAAAGGTCCAGACTCATGCATTCTTAAGGGTAAATTCTCAATTTTTTTCGTAAAATGTAATATTTTAAACCTAAGTTTAACACAAGATTAATTGTAGTAATCAAGTTTAATTAAGAAGTAACCAAAGAGATTACCAAACTTCCAACGAGCTTGGACGAGACCAATCTCAGGGTTGTGGACTAGGAATGGTATGGTGCGCCACAGAAAGTCAGGCTCAGGTTGGAAATCAGCGTCAAAGATTGCCACGTAATCACAATGTTTGACATAGCTGTGTTTCATGCCTTCCTTGAGAGCACCTGCTTTGTACCCATTTCTGTTGTCCCTTATCTCGTACTTTATGTTTATTCCTTTGCTTGCCCATCTTTGGCATTCTAACTCCACCAAACTCTGTTTTTTCCCCCCACATAGAAAAGTAACAAAAAATCCATGTCAGAAGTTTGAGATTTTTTTTTTTTTTTTTTTTGTGTGGATATGGTAAATATCTTTTATAAAAATGTTTAGACACTATCGGTCCAAAACATTCTACTAATAAAAAATAGATTCATGTTTCACGATTCATATTTTAATAGTGAATAGTGTATTGTTGATATGACCGATATCTTATAATTTTGTTTTATTTTTTCTTAGTCCTGAATTACAAGGGAATTCTCTAAAAGTTCATATTTGACATGGCATAAGTTGAGTCAAAAGATTTTGATAGTTAATACTTACTTGGGGAGGTAAAAAAAAAAAAAAAACATAAGCAAAAGTGATCTATTTGGGGGCTTTTTTTAGAATTGACTAATGGTTTTTTATGGGTAAATCAAAACATAGTGAAATTGTATGAACAATAAATTTTCCAAATAAGGTAGGTGAAAGGAACTGCTTTTACCCAAAACTGGAAAGTGACTTTTTAAACATGGTCTCAACTCTTAAATAGTGACATAATGCTTGCAAAGTACAAAAGTAACATCAAATTATTATTATTATTAATCTTTTCTTTTTCTGGTAGTCAAATCATCAGATTGGTTGAAGAAGGTTTAACCTTAATTGTTGGGTCGGTTGAGTCATCAAGTACTTGAATTATGATCCTATCAGATGGCCACGATAACCCACATGCAGCTCCAATTGAAAGCTGATAAACCTGTGGAGAATGATACATAGCACAATTCACAAACACACTTTCCCAAAAAAGAAAAAAGAAAACTACCAAAAAAATAAAAAGGAAAACTTTTAAGTACAAAAATAATAATAATAATAAAATCACTCAAACACTAACAGTGATTACCATCCGTATTTATTCAATCATCAGTAAGATATAAATCAATATTTGTTTTGGCTCAAGATTATAAATCAATATAAATACTTTTGTCATAATATGTGAGCGTTAGATTAGTGGAGACAAGTACTAGAGTATACAACATCAAATAAACTCAAAAATCATTGATTGAGACCGTACGATTTTAAATCAATTAGAGCACATTATACGCCATTAAATATATATTATGAGAATATTTCTTGAACAGTACTTAAACCTATTTCGGACCTGTTCAATTCGTTGATTTGAGTTTGTAATTCGAGTTAAGATGTGATTTTGTGTAAGAGTTTTTTAATGTAGTAAAAAAGTTAGATGTGATTGTTTCTAAGAGTTTTTTACTATAACAAAATTTGAATTCTAAACTCGGTGAAATAAACAGAGCCTTCGTAAGCATATTTTCATTTAAATCCCAAAAAAAAAAAAAAAAAAAAAAAAAAAACCCCTGGAAAAAGAATTTACCTCTTTCTCGTTGTACATTGGGATTTGGACAAGAACCATGGGATAAGCAGAATTCCCAAGCTCAACATCATCCTTGATAGGCTCCCACTTGTAACGCTTCTCGGGCCTTTTTCTAAACAACTTAACAAACGTTATAAAAACTCCCATGTACACCTTCTCTATGAAAAGCATCACAGACATTGCCAAGCACACCACAACCAACAATCTCAGCACCGGCACAATCACCGGCGCCTTCGCCTGCTCCCAAACCAACGCCATTTGCCCCGCGATGTCGTTTCTCGCCCCTTGAAACGCGTCCGGGATCACCGTCGTCGTCGTCAGCCGCTCCATAGTTTTTTGTCAAACTTATAGTACTAGTGGTGTATATACGTTCAAACACTTAGATATAACTATATATATATATGTGTGTGTGTGTGTGTGTATATATAGATACAAATATGTGTGTGTGCTTGTGTTTCAGAGTTTGCGAAAAGGGCACGGCTTGTTTATGGTGTTTGGTTTGCTTCTGACTTACGTGAGTTAATTAGGTAATGCGAAAGAGCTGGAAGGAGAGATTTCTGAAGACCCACGTACTGGCTGGTTTATGTTATTATGAGAGATCACATGCAAAACGAAAGAAGAAAATAAAGAACAGAACGTGCGGGAAAAAAAAAAAAAAAAAAAAAAAAAAAAAACCGGGGGGAAAAAAAAAAAAAAAAAAAAAAAAAAAAACTCGGTTGAGACTTTCACTCCAAGAAGAAGGAAAATAAGCTGTTTGTTTGTTTATACTAGAGGCTTGTTTATGAATTTTCTTTGTATCTATGGTTTCTCTCTCTCTCTATATATATGTGTGTGTGTGTGTGTGTTGTGTATTTTTCTGTTTTCACAAATGTGTTCTCTGCTCTGAGAGAAAACAGAGCAGAGAGAAGGAATTGGAGGAGCAGAGGACTTTGTGAGTTTGAGGCTACGAGAAAATGAGGTTCTTATTTGTGTGTTTATATATATATATATATATATATATATATATATGTAGATATGTTCATAAACACAAGTGATGAAATATAAAATGGAATAAAAAATTTTGGTCAAAAATGGACAAAGACAGTGGACCTTAAAACCAGCAAAAACAGTGATGGATTTAACATTCAGGCAAAGGCGTCTGAGTTACAACTCTTGAAAAGAAGACCAGAGGTTTCTGTACACTTTCTACATCACCCTCTGTTATTTCTCTTCTGTCCCCACTTTTTTCAGTTGATTAATTAATTAATTAATTAATTATGTTGCTTTATTCTTCCTTAATTTTTCTTAATTAATTTAGAGTTGTGTAACTAATTGCTGATGGTTTAGACATCCTTTTCTGAGAAGGTGTATGCCGGCAATATCTTAGTCATTTCCCAGTTGCACAGGGTTTTTTTTTTTTTTTTTTTTTTAATACTTAGTTTATTTCTGGAATTAGGCTTATTGTGGCAACTTTTAGATAATTTTTTATAGAGATTGAAAAAAAAAAAATACTGATAAGATTATGTTTGAACCGTAAATTTAATACATTTTTTTATACTTTTTCAATTTGATATTAATATGTCAAAAAAAATTTTAGTTTGTTTAGTGACTGCTGGTTAAACTAGTGCTGCACTTTTTTCTGTCAGCCAAAAAAAAAAAAAAAGGCAAAACTGGAGCATTGCTAAAGAAGTCTAATTAATGGTTCGATGACTGAATTAATCTTTTATTTTTGTATACAAAATGGGTAGATAAGATAAAATAGTAGAGATAAGTGGGATATTATCTGTTCAAACGTACACGTAATATACGGATTAAAAATAATTCACCATATTAATCCCTAAAATAAACAATGAGAGCTAAATTTGAACCCATTTGAGCCGACAACACATTTATAAGTGCTTTTTTAGACTTTTGATTATTTCCCAACATGGAATACTTTTTTCAGGCACAATGGAGGCTTCAACTTCTACTTTGTTCCCTTTACGTATCCCTTTACCTAAATCATGGTTCTTGACTACTTGTTTAGTGTTGTACTGCACATGTATTTTGAAGTTTTTTTTTTCTTTTTTTTTAAATCCAAATTATCATAATTCAATAATAAGAGATCCCTTTACCTACACCAGATTTTAATTTTTAATGTTCCTATTTTATTAATTTGTAATACTCTTCTTTTCTTTTTATTTTATTTTTGGGAATTTTCTATTTTATTCCACTTGCTATATTGGTCCATGCATGAGACATTTTCTTTTTATAATCTCGTTCAGTTCGCGGATTTGAGTTTTTAATTTGAACAGAGATATGTATAATTATTTTAGGTATTTTAAAAATAAACATATGTCTAATTGTTTATTTATTTATTTATTTTGCTAATCAATTGTTTTAATTGTTACTTCTGCAATTACTTCTGTAGTACTTTCTATGCTTTATATTTTGGTTTTTCTTCAAGCTACCATAATTGAAGCTTCAATTGAGACTCGGAGAATAATTATATTTGTAAATCTTTAACGGCCTTATTTGTCTTTGTCGCAGCTGATTAAAAATAATAAACGGAAATAGTAGAAAATAGGTCAATATGAAAAGCTTAAGAAAGTATATAAACTAACTTTTAGTTATAGAAATTAATAGGTCATAACTTGTCAAGTTATGGTTTATAATCAGATAAGTTATGGACAAAATTGTCAAGTTATGGTTCATAGCCAGACAAGTTATGGATAAAAACTGTGAATTATGGACAACAACTTGTCAAGCTATAGCTTATAACCAGACAAGTTATGAACGAAAAGAGTAATTTGGCCTATTTATTAACTTATATAAACTATTGACCTATTAATTTTAATCCATATCAAATCTTAACCTATTTCCCACTTTCTCTCTAAAATAAAAGCTTACAAGTTATATTAAAGTCTCTAGAAAACTTCCCATCATTATATATTATATTAATTCTCCATTGACCTTCCTGGGGGAATTTTTAACACCTCTTTAGACGTTCGTTAGGACAAAATACCTAGCGAGGCACATGTTGTGACAACCTTACAAAGAGGGTACCTCTCAAAATTAAATATGAGCATCTACATTTTATTTCTATTCTTTAACAATGACCATATATAATGTGTGTCTATACTATTGGTCACTCCATGTTTTGTCAAAGTAATTATAAATGTTCCGTTTGACTATATATATATATATATATATATATATATGCCTTTGCCTTCAAAATCACACATAAACCTAGAAGGCTGCAGGTTACATTATTATAGCAATAATAATAATAATAATAATAATAATAATAATAATACTAACAAAATTAAAAATAAAAAGCACATGTGGCAATATGGACAGCCCAACTTTGTCATCACCAAACATATATACATCACAAATTAAACAGGTGAGCATCACAATATGAGCCCGTTTAGTTTATGGATTATAACTATTTTTTATTTACATGTATTTTTTGTGAGAGAAAATACTGTAGCGAATCATTAACCATAATTCGAATAAGAGAACAAATCCTCCAACTAAACGGGTTGTATATGATTTGGAATATCTTGTCTGTATTCCGAGAATATCCTGCAGGTTGCAACCGCCAACCATAAGTACATGATATATAGAACTTTTTTCCCCTTTTTTATTTAAAAAAAAAAGGAGGACCAGAATGTCATATAATTCACGAGGCAAGTTTTGCCAAAACTTAAGGGAACTATATCAAATGATGACGCATGTACGAACCATTATTTGAATGTGTATATATAATGCATGTTTGTAGGTATGTATCTTCAAATGCAGGAGATAGTCATTCAATTTGAAATAATTGGTGCATATTAATCTATATATATGTCGATATTAACATACTAATAATAAACAGGAGAGTAATTGTTAACTGTAACAGACTCGTTTGTTTCGTCGATTAATTGAATCACAACTCAAGTTTTTGTTACGGTATTTTTCCTCACAAAATTTAAATTTAACTTTTTTTGTCATGTCATTTTCTCTCATATAAAATCATTTTTTAACTTAAATTCTCAACTCGAATGAACAAAATAAACAGAACTTAAATATAAGAGTCAAGCCCCATATGCCGCCGTAAGTGCCTAGGTCACGAGGCAAGTTTTGCCAAAACGTAAGGGAACTATCAAATGATGACGCATGTACGAACCATTATTTGAATGTATATATATATATATATATATATATAATGCATGTTTATATGTATGTATCTTCAGATAGTCATTCAATTTGAAATAATTGGTGCATATTAATCTATATATATGTCGATATAAACATACTAATAAGCAGGAGAGTAATTATTAACTGTAACACATCTAACTCTAAGATTCATTTGTTTCGTCGATTAATTGAATCACAACTTAAGTTTTGTTACAATGTTTTTCCTTACAAAATTTAAATTCAATTTTTTCTGCTATAACATTTTCTTATATAAAATCACTTTTTAATTTAAATTTTTAATTCGAATGAGTGAAATAAACGAAACTTAAATATGCCGTAAGTGCCCTAGGTCATTACCTTTGCTAAAAGAGCTAGCCGCTAGCTGGACGGTAATCTAGTACCTTGCATGTTTTGCATGTTTCAATTGAGAACATAATTGATATAAAGGCCACCAATCAGGGTCCACAGTTTAATTGGTAATACCTACAAGGTTGTTAAGACATGGAATATTATCAAATTTTTTATTGATATACAAATTAAGGAAATATATCATATATAAAAATATAAATTGGTATGAAAATTATGATTCTTGAATTGGGTTATTAGCTGCCTTACTCTAGTTGTACCAATAAAAGTACAAAAGTTTGTTACAAGATTTGAGAGCTTATAATTAGTTTTTTTTTTTTTTTTTATAAAAAAAAAATATATATATATATATATATGTGTATATATAGGGACTATCTCTGGTAGGCCCGGTAAGATCAATTTTCTGACCGTTAGATCTAGTCAAAATCAAATGAGATTGAAAAAATATGCAAAACATGTAATTGCTGATACAAATCTGATGGCTGAAAACGGCTAAAAAAATAGAACTACCGGTAATTTTATTTTTTAGTCCTAACTCTCATATATATTTGAAAGCTTTATTTAGAACCATTATTGCAGGTGTTTGTCATGAGATCATGATTATAAAAGCTTTAGCGATCAATATTAATATTGTTTAGATAGAAAGATTGCTGAGCTTGCGCTTGGAGTATCATGTCAACTTTTGTCTAATTAGTTGTTTTATGAGTTCTTGGCGTTCACTAGAGGAGGCAATTATTTGCAAAAGATTGATGCTTAAAAGTGTAAAATTATCATCCATATCTCATGGTTAAAACGGTTTCTTGTTATCAGGATTAATTATTTAAAGAGACTTGCCAATGAAACTTTAACGAATT